CAGTGACTGGGATAATTGGGATGGGAGTGTCAGAGACAGTGCGATTGGCACAGGACAGGGCAGAGTTTAGGGCTGTTGTACATAGGGTCACTATGAGTCGCAGGGGACTCGACGGCACATAACAACAACAACGACAAGTTTACTTCATTTTGACATATTTATATACTTGTGTACTAAACATTCCATCACCCCAAAATATTCTCTCTTGAAAGCTATGATTTCCTCATCTTCAGGTTGCCACTGGCCTAGTATATGCTTCTATGTCTGTAGATGTTGTTGGAACTGACCCATAGCTGACCCTTTGCTGGGTTTTCAGGGCAGTTAATCACACAGGAGAAAATTGCCCATCCTTCTCCCACAGAGCATGTGATGGTTTCGAACCACATGCCTTTGGGATTGCAGAGTAGGTTCTTAATACTAGGCTACCAGAGCTAAGTGACAAATATTTTAATAGTACCCAATATTGAAATAAGGTGGCAGGGGTGGGGGTGGGGAATGCTCTTTCATATATGTCTGTGGGAATGAAAGCAGAATAACCTTTTTCGAAGATGGTATAAGTGTACAATAACTAAAGTTCATTTGAATTATCATTTCTGCTTCTAATATAAGGAAATAATTTTTCACGTGAATGAGAATTTAATTACAAAAATGTGCATCACTGTGTTGATTATATATGTAATAAAGCAAAAAAGAAATTAGATATCTGATAATGTAGAATGTTTTAAGGAATTCTGTAGAGTGAAAGAATGTGCTTTTAAAATAGTAGAAGTATGTTACTTTGTAAACAGAAACAGAATATTCCTGTTTTTAACTTCTTCTTATCCTCAAATTCATTCCAACAACAAGTATGTTGTTGTTATGTGCTCTCAAGTTGACTATGACCCAAAGTGACCATATGCCCAATAACTCTGAACCCTGCTCTATCCTGAGCCAGTTTCGCTGTTTCTGACACACCTGCCCTCATTACCCTAGCTGTGCCAATACATCTCATCCAGGGCCTTCCTTTCCTGTGCTGTTCTTCAACCCTTCCAAGCATGAACCTTCTCCAAAGACTGGTCCCTTTAGGCTGCATGCCCAAAGTATGTGAGATGGAGCTTCAAAATCCTTACTTCCAAGGAGCAGTTTGACTTCACACTCCAGGACAGACCTGTTAGTTCTCTTGGCAGTCAATGGTGTATTCAAAACTATCTCCAGCACCACAACTCAAAGGTTTCAGTTCTTCTAATTTCATCATCCTGCTCTCTAATATATAGCGAATAATTGCAAAGACCCATGGCCTGGATGAAAAAGACTAAATGCTTACTTTTAAAAGGAAAATGTTAAACATTTTCTCTGGTTGATAGGATTATTGATTTTTTTTTTTACAAAAAAATGTTTTCTTGTTAAAGATTATTGAAGGGTCAATAAAAATTACTGAAATTCCTTCCTGGTTATGAAACTAAGCTGTATTAATATAGAGAATACAAAGCTTTAAAGAAAATCCCCAAAGTGTTTTAAAGTTCTCTTCGTCCTTGAAATTTGCTGTGTGTGTCATCTCCTCCAGGAAAGCCATCTCAGACCTTCTCCTTTCTCCCTGTGGTCTGAGTCCATCTCTAGATAGGCAGTAATCCATTCAAGAACTTCTTTTCTTTTTCTTTTTGCAGTAGTCTGCAGTTAACTAAGGGTGTGGAAGGGTGTTCATTCGCAGCATGCCTGCAACATAGCACTTAAAGTTCAACTGTGTGACTGTTTGACATATATTGACTGAAAACATGTCCAACAGTGCAGAGTAAGGATACACATGAAGTGCCAGAGTAGATGACAGAATCTTTGTAAAAAATTTAGTAGGTGAGGGTGGGGCGTGTGTGGGAGCCAGATCAGGAAGAAGTGTGTGCCATCTTCAGCATTTGGAGTTCTATAGGAGCCAGTGGAAGACATACCAAAATTGTCTAACATCTGCTATCAGGTATTGCTTTACACTCCTGTGGAGTCTGAACTGCCTCAAAATAGCTGGCTATCCAGTGACTTTTCAGAGACTCTAAATTTCACAAGAGGAGATTGCCTTTCTCCGTGGAGCAGCTGGTGAAATCCAACACAATTCTAGCCACTAGACTACCAGAGATGCTATAATGGTTAAAAAATGCTTAGCTAGAAAATCTCTTTATGAGGCCAGAAGGGCACCTTGAAGCATTTGTTACAGTAGTCCAGCTGAGAAACCTTGAGGGTTTAACTCAAATTAATGTTGGAGGAAGCAGAGATGAAGGCATTGGGATTAAATTGTATCTCTCAGAACGTATTCTCCCACAGTGGTGATTTTCATTCATTTTAAGACATGGTTGTGATTTAATAGTTGTTAACAGCAAATCAAAAGACATTAGATAAAACAGTGTGAAATGTGGTTTGGGACAGATGGTAGTCAAAGGGAAGTGTCTCTTACATATGCTTAAAAGCCTATCGACTAATGGTGCAGGCCAGGCTTACTTAATGTCTCTTTATGAGCACGAAAAGGATTAAATTGCAAAGTGAAAACAAACTTTTTTATTTCCTGTCTTCTCCCCCATTGCACTTCCACACATCAGTTTCCCTTAGTAATATTTGTGTTTGACCTTACCCTCTTCTAAATAGAGGTTATAAGTACCTCTACAAGTAAGAAAACTTAATTGACAATGGTTCGCATATCTTTGTGACTATACCAGGTGAAATCATTGAGTTAATGATCTTCTAACATGTTTCTCTTTCAGTTACCTTGTGTCCTAACAGTGTTCCCTTAATTTTATTTATAGCTCCAAAAGGAATTCTTCATTTGTCTCCTGATGTTTATCAAGAGATGGAAGCCAGCCGCCACAAAGTAATCTCTGGCTCTAGTCTAGGTTATTTGTCACCCAAAGATATGAACCAACCTTCAAGCTCTTTCTTCAGTATATCTCCTACATCAAATAGTTCTGCCACAATTGCAAGGGAACTCCTTATGAACGGAACATCTCCAACAGCTGAAGCCATAGGTTTAAAAGGAAGTTCTCCTACCCCCCCTTGTTCTCCAGTACAACCTTCAAAACAACTGGAATATTTAGCAAGGATTCAAGGCTTTCAGGTATGAATCAAAAGCAAAACAAAAACAAAACAACCCATTAGACCCAAATCCTTCATTTCTGTCCATCAAAAAGCTCATTTTTGCCCTCTATGTCCCTTGGATTGTAAATTCTTAGGAACACTGAGTGCATAAAGAAGGAGCTATGCACATGCCACATTTTCTCTTGTTTTCAGGCTTCCTAGTGATTCTTTGTGGTCTAGCTCTGTCTCTCCACTATTTTCCTTTCTTTCTCTTGCTCACACATTTTCATTTTCTGTTCTGTGCTGGTTGATTTTTATTAGCTACATCACTGTCTTCCACATACAAAACTCTCCCTTCAGATATTTGGTATTTAGCTCTCAGTTCTTCGTTTACATTAGGATTGAGTTTTTCTAATGACGGATCTACTTCCATGGCTGTGTTAAATTGGCTTTCCATTGCCAGTTAAGATACAGGTACAGTATTAAGGGTACACTACCCTAACGGTCTTTTACTTAAAGAGTTAACATGGCATTAGCACAACAATGGAATGCTATCTAGTTGTTTGAGGAATAAAAAACATGCATTTGTTTTCCTGAATCACATTTTGGACCGTCTAAGGCAGTGCTTGCCTCAGATGATGCCATCAGTTCTATTTCACTGCACAGTCTGAAACTACCATATAACTAGTATATCAGTTTGGGCTTAGGACTTTTTTTTATGTATTTATTTTTTGTTCCTTTTTCAGAAAAAGAAAAACAATCCTTTATGGATAGATCAGAGGTTTACAAAGAATTGTTAAACTCTAGAAAGGGGAAAATACCTGTGTCCAGATTTCTTAGTTGCCTTGAAAATCCTGTATTTAACTGTATTACACTAATCTGATTGAATGATCAGTGTGCTTGTGTGTAGTATATTATTACTCCCTCAAATTTCACTGTTTCCACATTCTTTTCCATATTAGTCTTTTTCCTTAAGACCAAAAGCTGTAATTTCCTTTAGAAATGCTCTAGAAGATCTGTATTGTGTAGAATGATCATGTATTTATAAAAATGTTATAGGTTTAGATTATAAAGTGAAAAAGAAGATCATGTGTTCTGGGGGGAGATTTTGCATGTTTTTCTGTTCTCTTCACAGAAATCTTTTACTTTAGACTCTATTGCCAGGTAGTCATTAGTATTCTTAATTGAACCATTAACATGAAATTAAGGAAACTGTTAATGATTATTGGCTCTGTCATTTGAAATTTTAAACACTTAAGTTGAAGTTACAATTTTAGAATTTGTTTTTCAGATTTACCTTAAAATGACACTAAATCACTGTTAAAAACAAAGACTTTTATTCATATAGCTGAAGCATTAGGCTATTAGTGAAGTAATTTTTAGTTCTATCTATAATCTCCATAAGAAGTAAACTGTGATAAAAATAAATCCACTACTAATTTACACATCTAGTTATTTTAAAATGTCAAGGAGTAACACTTCCTTTTCATAGACAAAAGCACAAATTGCATTCAAGCTCCAAATTTAATTCTTGCTTAGAGATGTTACTAGGGTAGATGTAACTTTGCTGCAGCCAGAAGAACTATTTATTTCATTTCCTTTGTTAGTTCTTGGCAATGACAACTGAAAAATTTTAAGTGTCTTGACTTCAGCCAAAGTGTAGAAACCGCTTCCCCCATTATCAAAATGACTGCTTATCCTTTTTTTTTCTAAAAAAACGATAAATAGAAGCTGTGTGGACTCATATTTATGGACAAGTTAAACATTTCAAAATTTGTGTACTGTGATTTTATATACAATTAAACATAAACAGATGGTTTTAAAAACTACTGTGCTCCTTTGGTCAAATGAGCTTTGCATTGAAGTGAAATACTGTGTCGCTGGCGGAGAGCAACTTGCCATCGAGCAGTGAACAGAATCCCTGTGAGAGATGGCTCATGTCCTGTCAGGCACTGAGCTCTGTCGTCACAGGATCACAGTAGAAGATTCTGTATGGCTGAGAGTTTTAAAGCCTATTTGTTTATAAGTAACTTTCTCAGGTGTATTTACCTGATAGAAGAACTCGTAGAATATTTCCATTTTTAAATGTTTTAATTGAACTATAATTTAGAAATTGTAGGAACAGCTTGTTATGGACTCCATGCAATTCTGTTATTTTTACTTTTGGAATTAAAAAACAATAAATTCTTTTTCTGTGTTTCTAGGTTAGTATTTTTTTGTTATTGTACTCTGAGACGATAGTATTGCTTATTGAATGTTGTGTAAACCCTTCGTTGGACTTACTTGCCCATTGAAATTTGACTAAAGCCTACCAGAGCCATTGTATGTGACAGCTGTATTGTATTACAAAGTAAAAATATATGAGTGCATTGAAAACTCAGTTGTTTTAACTTTTAAATTTTTTTCATTCCCCACTATTTTAATTTAACTTTATAAGTTGCATTAAGTCTTATTTTCTCACGAATGTGTAGATAGTAAGCTCACATCCTTTTGTTTAAATTATAAAATAATTAAAATGATTATGAATAAAGCTGACTTTACATTGTAGGGTGTGATTGAACACTTGTATATGCTTAGTACCTCTTTGATCCTTGCTTGGACTCACCTAAAATATTTATCATATCTTAGAAGCATGCCTTTTGCACCTCTGTCATAAATATTTGATTCATTGACCTTCTGTTGAGAACAGTCTAATAATCATTTCTGAAAACTTGAACATGCTGATTGTTTTATTATTTTTTTGAAAGAAAATTTTATGTCACTAGATTTGTGGCTATCAAACTTTGACATAACCTATATATATCTATACTTTTCAGAAAAATCATTTGAAATTATATAATAGTTTCCATTTTTGCCACATAACTTGATATTCTTTAATTATCAAAATACTTCAAAATTATCCAGCTTTTTAGGGAAATTGTAATGGAAAACACACTCTTGAAATGGTGTGTATTTCAGCAAAAGAGACTTTGATGCAAAAGAGACTTTATTTTGGTAAGTTGTAATTTCCATTGTTCTAAGTTTTTACATCTTTAGTTTGTTTTTCCATGCAAATTGTATTAGAAATAATTTTGTATAATTACACATAAGCAATTTTTTTGTTGAAATGAGTCTTTAGAAAAAATTTTAGGTTGAAAATGAAAATGAATTATTTTAGTAGTTTTTGTAGATTTAATTTGGTATTCTCTGCTGCTTTTATGATCATCATCTATTGTAAAATCTTCAAAGTAAAATAATGATAAACTAATTTGGGGTTTTTTTTTTCTTCACATAAAGGTATAAAGAAGAACTTGGCATCTTAGTTAGACCATAGTTTAGTTTATTTTAAAAAATCAAGAATTGTTGAGGTTTAAATAGAGGTGCCATTTACAGCAAGATGAAGATACCTGTAGAAACTTCTGAAATGACTACTTAAATGAAAAGCTTTTTTTTTTCAAATACAATTCATACATAATACATTTCACCTGATATGTCTCCTTTTGTGAAGTTATTTTAGCAGTCGTCTTTTCCATATTTATTTTCAAGACCCTCATATAGATTACACTGAGATATTCTTTTACATGAGCTGGCTTCCCTGAGATTGTGAGAATCAGTTTTTCTCCTTTCTCAAATCTTTTTCATATGTTGTTTAAATCTCATGGTTTTATCATTGAAGTAACTATTTACAGAAACCTTTTGAAAGAATGAGAGATCCATTTTTAAGGCCAATGTAAGTGAAAATTTATTTCTAATAGAATAAGGAGAAAGAGATTTGCTATATTTATACATACCTCACTTAGAAACATGTAGGTTTTTTTTCTTTTTTAAATTTGTCCTTAAAAAATTTTTACTGTCACTAGATTTCTATCTTTGTGTGATAAAATGATAGTAAAGTGATCAGAAACTAGAGTACCATGTGTTTGGCATGGGGCTGGCAGATGCTTTTAATTGATTGAAGTTATAGGTTTCACTCACTATCCAAAAGTGGAGCAATTCTCTGAAAACTTTCATAAACTGAAAAAGACATAAAGCAGAGACTATGTTATGGAGGGGAAAATATTGAGCATTCCTTGGCTTTCAAAATAATCTTACAAAATCATCTAAATAACCGGTAGAGTCTAAATAAGAACATGTAGTGTTCTCAGGCACAGTCTAAAACTTGGGGCAGTTTACTGCTGAGATACTGTAGAAAGAAAGAAGTTCTCTAGAAAGAAGCATGGGGGTGCCATTCTTCCTGCTCACATGTGCACTGCTGCTTCAGCAACTTGATGCAAATGAAACACAGAATGCTAGTTTCACTTTTCCCCCTTAAAAAAAAATATCAGAAATTGTCTTTGGATTTCTTTCACTAAATGAGAACAGGTACTAATACAGGTCTTTAATAACAGCGATGTGGATTTTGCCTTTATACTTTACAGAGACTAGGAGAGTGTGGGCCAGCTTTGCTGCACAAAGGTGGGCAATCTTTTGTGCGAGGCACAGCCTCAGAAAGTTAGTGGAGGGTCCATTCCAACTCCTTGGCAATGAGGTTTGTTTTGCACTGTGCTCTATTTTTCCCCAATTAGAAACCATAATATTCAGATTTCTTCTTAATGTTAGCCCACCTTCATGCAGGCAGATACCTTGTCTCTGATATCTTTAGGTCATGATATACTCAGTTTGCAAACTGCAGATCACCTAACTTTATTTCCATAAAAGTTAATGGGACATTTTGTTGAAATGCCAAATACTGTAGTGGAAAATGTTAAAAGTGTGAAGAAATCCTCATGCATTAAACACACTGTGATATATAAAAGTAATAAAGATGAGAATCAAGCAGACCTTAAGTAAAATAGTCCATTTTTATCATATAAACTATTTGGACCTAGGGAGCTCTACTGGCTTAGTGGCAAGGAATTGCACTGTCAACCCAGAGGCATGCAGTTTGAATCCACTAGTTATTTGGAGGGAGAAAGTTGGAATTTACAGCTCCTGAAAACCCGCAGGAGGGGGTCAATTAAGAGTCAGTTGTGACTCAATGGCATAAAAAAACACTTGGAAACTTACCCTACTCTAACTCAT